ATATATAGAATATTAACATAAACATATATTAAAGATTGACATTATAATAGAATTATATTACACAAACAAATTATCTAAACAAAGTGAAAGTAGATTTCAATAAGTTTCATTCAACATGCCATTTTAACTTGATTATATTAAACAAAAGATGATGATTTCATAGTCTATTACATGTTTTCATTCCTATTTATTATCATCTTGCCTTCTAACATATTATAAAGATTAAAACTTAAGTTCTCACCAAATAATAACAATATAAAGTTTCCGGAAATAAATTCTACTGACAGAAAGCGCCATGTTTACTTTTCTCCAGTATTAAATAATGCCAACTGGTCAAATTAAACGGAACGACTAGTTGAACGAAAAAGTTTAAACAATTACGCCAAGTGCTACCAACAACAAATCTTAAATTATTATCTAAGAAAGTAATATATTAAATACTTTATACATGTAGATAAAACAATTACATGTACATTTAAGTCAGAACATAAGTTATAACACCCAAAAATTACAAAAGTACAACATTCTCTTAACATTAACTTAAAATATTTGACTTACCTAAAATACAAAAAGATGTCCCTTTTCCTCAATTTATTTTCAAACTATTTTTTAAACTATTTTCAACCAGAGTCATACAATCTATGGCTCTTCAGAGGAAAGGACTTTAGAACAACAACTTCCATAACAATAATAGACCAATCAATTTTACTGTACATCATGTGACCCTTAATTCCCTTAGTTAATTTAACCAATCAATTTTAATTTTGTGTAACAAAATTTGGAATCATCCAATGAAACATTGTTTACTTGTTAATAAAAGTGTTAACTGAAACCCTGTAAGTTCATGACAAATCAACTTATGGTTACTGATAGTGTTAAAATTTCTTTCGTAACATTTACTATCGAAAGTTCTGAAATAGGATTAATTATCTTGTTAAAGCGATTACCGTAGATTGGTTAACTTAGATTTTCCTATCTGTATTTGTTCTTATGCCTTTTGTTATAACATATTACCGACATTAAAGCGTACCTTAAGAAATAAAAGTAAAATATAAATTAGATAAAAATGAATAATAAAAAATAAAATCAAAAATTTTAATGCATAGTACCTGTAACATAAAATATACGAGTATGCTGATAGTTTTCTAATAAAATGTCACGGTAAATTTTGTTGAGGCACAAACTATACAATCAGACGGCGAAATGAAATGCAGATAAAAGTGACATATTTATTTTCCTTTGATTACAATATTTACAAGTTAAGACGTTTGATCAAGGATTTCAGGTAAGCAGGCGCAAGTGAAAATTTTTCCCTTTAAAAGCGTTTTCCCCGAAAAAACTTTAAATTTGGGAAATGGGGATAGTACAATTTTGAAATTTTAGTCCCCCTTTTGGAGGGATACGGAAGCTTCCCTCGAAAAACCTTTGAAACGAAAGTGTAAAATGGTACAACCAAGAGCATGATGAAGTGTTTTGTTGCATTAGAATATTTTTAAATACACAGTTTTTAAATAATTTATAAGTACACAAACTTGGACTAGCAGACAATGTTGCAGTCCATGACTGAACAAACTGGTCCGTTAGTCTTTGTTTGAATAATGAAGAAAACGCTTGAATATTGATAATATCAGGATTGTTCCATAGATACGTATATAAAAACCCATTATTTTGTAACACAAATTTTACTTTAGATATCTAATTTACCTTGCCTTTTTGACAATCATTTAATATTATTTTCTACATCTTTTTGATTGATATATATTTACAGTTTACAAATTTCAGCCATTATTTTACAATCCTTACATATCTGTTAATGAACAACTCACCATAAATAGCCATATTGCTAGTACTTTGTTAAATGATCCTTTAATTGAGGTTGTATACCACATTTAAGTGAAATTATATATATGTATATAATTGTGCTTATAAAACAATTTTCAAACATAGAAGAATATGTTAAATATGTACTGCAAATATTTGTTCATATTCCATGTAATCATTGAAATAATATATGCATTTATTAATGATTTCTTATTGAAAAATTTGACTTAGATTTTATAGAAAATAAATTTTTTATTACCTCCTTTATTTACATGAAATGTTCAATTCGGTAATATCTTTATAAATAATGCTGTATTTGAGCATGATATTTATGATATAAAACCATAAAAAATTGTGTTACCGGATCTTTATCATAGAGTATTGACTTACAAAATTTAATATGAATTCTCTCAATTTCTTTACTTTTATTAAAAACCCATATCTCGCAAGCATAACTTAACAAGGAGCCAACAAATGCATCACATAATTAACAAATGGTGCTTGGCTTTAATGAAATGCCTTTGGTATTAGCAAGCAGTATATTTAATGCCTTTAAGCTTTTACCAGTCAAGGTCTCCTAGCTTAGGTTTAAATTCCCGGTATAATTAAAAACTGTGCGAAGGTAATTAAAGTTAGAATCAACTTTTATATGCATATTGTTATAAGTTCATTTTTCATCATGCTTTAAAGGCCTGCGTTTTCTAAAACCAACAAATTTACTTTTATCCAGATTTACATATAATCCCCAGGTACTACAATACGTGTAATAATTAATCAAGATTTGTAAGTCAGAAGTATTTTTTCTAAAGGTGACCACGTCATCTGCAAATGACATCATCAAAACTAATACCAGAATTTATCATTTAGGGGAAATAAGTCTAAATCTTCTACAAAAAATGCAAAAGTAAATGGGACATTACCTCCCCTTGTTTTAATCGTATTAAACATTCGAAATAATCTGATAGGTTTTACAGCCTCTGACATACTTCGTAAAATATTGAACGTTTTGCCACCAACATTATAAGCTTAAACCACGGGCCATTACGATATACACCATCGAATGCTATTTTTTAAATAAATAAATTTAAAGCATATGGTAATTTTTTCATTTTCATAAAGAAATTTACTAACTATAGCATTTAGTACAGATATTGCAGCAATAGTTGAACTGAGTCATATCTTACAACATTATTATTTTCAACCCATTAAGATATCCTTTTATGTAAGACAGCTACAAATATCTTTGAAAAACAACTCACTAATACCTCTATAATTTTTAACGTCACATGAAAATACCATTAATTCATCCACTGATCTGAAAATACACCGTAATCCAATATACCGTTAAATATTTCAACCAAATGTGATAATAACATATTAAATAAGATGCTGATCGCCCGCAATTTGACGTATAACGAGAAGTTATTGGTGAATCCAATTCTTCAAAAATACATTTTTCATTTACAACATTATGATTCCTAGAGAAGTGTTCAACATTATTATTATAATTATCAGGCAAATAATCACTTTATTTAATTTAATATAATTTATTTATAAAATTCTGAGCACTAATTTTACTATTTGCATGTAAATTATTTTTCTTATAAAATATTTTCAGAAATATCTGAGTTTACAATGGCGCAGGCGCTCTACTTCTTTCATTTTACCTATTTTATATCTTCGTTTCTTTACTTGTATAATATTTTTAAACACAGATTAATATTCACATGAATACTCTATTTTCATCATTTTTTACATGAATGGAATATATTTACAGCTTTAACATAATTTATTCATTATTTGCAATCGAAACATTTCGATTTTCAAAGCAAGACGTATCATATAAAACACAATGTTTTATGAAGCAATAGTTCTGCAACATCATTTGTAATTGTCGTAAATTGTTCAATATAATTGTTAATTTCAGATCTGTTTCTGAAATCAGCACAGTCAGTAATGCTATTCATTTTCGGTAACATAGAAATATGACTACGTCTAAAATCATCACGAATGTCACTTTTCCATTTAATACTGATTCGCTCGTATTGACTATCATTTCCATCACAAATAAAATTACATGCCAAATTAAAAGTAATGGGTGCGTGATGCGTGTTGTGACCACTCAATAGAAAAATATTTAATCATGTTTAAGTTTTGCTCGTGTAGCAGTAAATAATAACGTTCGAATCAGTTGTACAAGCATATGTAAAACAACACATAAAGTCTACTGCTAGCAATTCTTAAAGAGGTAGATTTACACAAATCTAGTAGCTTAATACCAAAATTATTATGTACATTTCCGGACAATATTCATTATAATATATAACATTTATTATAATCTATAAAATGAACAGGTCTGTCACAAATTATGTAGTCTTTCCTGTCCCCCATTCCACACCCTAGCATTTCAATAATCTATCAAATATATAATCCCTTCCGTTTCATAACATTAGACATTAGACATCGTTTTGTATAAAAATACCAAAAAGATCATCATTTATACAGTTATAAGCCGGTGATTCATCGACCCAGATATAGATTTATTTAGCTATATAGCCATATAACTCGAAATGATTTTCAATTACATAAATACCCCTACAAATACTGTTTTTAATATATACTACCAATGCACGCCTCCACTGAATTGCTTCGTTCGACGATTCTGAAATTTTTGTAAAAAGTTATAATAAGCATTAATTGATGTAACCATTAATTTTAAAGAGTTTTTATTACCATACGAATCAATCAGGAAAACTATACCATAATTTGAAAGTTCATTGATAAAATCACGTAGATGAGATCTTGAACTCAATTAATCGTATATTCATGAAGTTGAAATAGTAAATAAGTAAAGTAAAAGTCGTGAATTCCTCAATTCAGTTTTCTATTCTTTTTGAAAAGTGAATATACGTGAAAATTGGATATATACATAAAGTTCGTTCTTAATACGCACACAATGTCCATCCATCGAAGAGGACGCCGACGTTAATTGAAGTAGATATCTATATTATAATAGTTAAATGTAAATTTATACAACTAATATGCACGTTTTCATAAACAGAACAAACTAAGACAGAATCAATACTGTTTTACGCCGTCCGTCATATCTATAAATAGAACATAAAACACATTCTATAAATATACCAGCGATGAGAAATCTATTTTTACATGATCATATATACTATACAGTTTGCATCTGTAGCCAGTTCATCATTTTTACAAGTTCAAGTAAAGTTCAAACATTGTGTAGATAAAAACAAAATATAAACGATATAATACACTGAAAATAAAATGGGAAATTCGGTTTTTAAACGTTTATTTGCTGATAAAAATGTACGGATATTGATAATTGGACATGAAGATTCTGGACAATCTTATGTGCTGCATAGTTTGAAGCTGGGTAAAGTAAGTTTAACTGTGGCGGGAGAAGGAGTTTTCGCAGAAGTATTACGATATAAAAATGTAGAAATGACAGCTCTAGATTTGGGTGGCAGAATGTCAATACGCCCATTGTTACCACACTACTATGCTACCATACAGGGACTTGTATTCGTTTTGGATTGTTGTGGGTAAGTGGGTTTATATTTACGTTAAAATGTACATAATGGTACAGGAATTACCTTGGCAAAGGAATTACCTTGGCAATTGTATTGTTTAGTACTTCGTTAGATTTTGTCAAATAATTCAATCAAATCAATGGTCATTACATCACCTTTTAATAAGGGCCGATAACCTGGTTATGTATTGCTATGATTTATTAACCCAACATTGAGGATCAAATCCTTGATTTTAATTTCGTAGCTTGCAATCGTTCAAAATACTTTGAAATCATTAAGGTATTTGACAATTTCGATAAAATTGTAATCTGCCTGCAGATTAATATGGATAATCATGTTCATATCTAAATTTGAAATAAAGGAAAAAAACTATTCATGATCTGTAGTTTAAGGATTTAACAATGTTCAAATTTTAACATGTTATCATTTAGGCCAGCCAAGTTCTGCAAATTAAAACGAGTATTGCAATTAATTAATTACAAAACTCGTTGTACATCCAGTTTTGTAATCCGATAATCAAATATAGCTTTATGTGGGTATTATTATGTTGCTGTCTATAACATATGATAATGAATGGTAATATGTAGTGTTTAATTTCGCATTCGGAAAACTGATTTGATTTAACATTTATTTCCATTCTCATAAACACTTGTATCTTTTTGCAAAATAAAATGATGATAGAATGGTTGCATGCAGTAGGCCTACCTGCACATCTTCGTTGTCAACAGCAGTTCCAGTTTTGCTTAAATTGTTGCTGTAATTTTTTTTGTAATACATGTATCAATCCTGTGTGTTTGATTTCGTAACTAACAATTACTTTGACAGTTTTATTGCAAAATATCGTTGACATAATATAATTCTGGTGCAATTTTGTCACAACTTATTTTTCAATAAAAAAAAGTTTAGCAATAAAATATCCAAATAACAGCTTTTATATTTACTTGAGACACTATTCGTTTTACACGTTTTACATGAAGATTGATATGAAGTAAACTGTGTCTATCATTTTGTTGATACATGAAGGGCCTTTTTGTAAATTTTCTTTCTACAGATATAGTGAATACAAATACCGTTCGCATTAGAAGTGTTGTTAAACGTTTCAAAAATACTCAGCAAGTGTAAACTTACTTATTTTCAGTTACAGAGTGGATGAAACTATAAAAGCATATTGCGAGAAGATACAGGAAGATGTTCTACCAAATGAGGTACCTGTCCTTATTCTCGCCAATAATCACGACGACTCGCGCGCAACTTCACTAGATAATATCCGGGAACAATTTGGGAAAGAAAAATGCTTCATTGATAGACACTGGAAGGTCCATGGTGTCAATTTTTCTGATAAAGAAGACAACGGATTGTTTGAAGCGTTTGATTGGCTCTCGGATCAGATGATAACCAATGAAAAACAAAAGATGGCATTGGATATATTTGCTGGGACAAATAACAACGGAACGACTGACACATCTGACCAACAGCTCGGCGATAAAGAAAATAAGGGTTTTCTTTCAAAATTCGTTGAGTCACTTAAAAAGACTCTTGTTTGTCGGCCAGTTATTCGACAGTAACGAGGGTAATACTATCTATGAAATAGAAGAAACCATGTATGTAAATCTATTAATTATATAATAGAAATATCTGTATAACAAAACAAAAGATCCAATTTCGGCGGAATGACCAGAGAATTGTTGATTGGACATTATATATATACGTACATGTATATGAAAGGACATTAGGTATATAATAGTGTAAAAATCAAATTGCAAGTTATAAATAGTGTGTGTCTTCCACCATCGTCGATAACATGATTGTATATCATTTTTTACATAAATGACGTATCAAATTTAATTTGTTTAGGCGGGTAGTATCGCTGGTCTTCCCACATTCCATACAACTTGTAAAAGGGATAAAAATTTCGGAAAATTTTTACTCTGCTTAAAGGCTTTTCGTTAATATAACTAAAATTTTAAATTTTTTTATGTCGTATTTTGGGGTCCCTTTATCCTTATTTTTTTCTCATTATACATTCATATGTTCATGAACCTTAGCAAATGTTATGATTATTCAACAAAATTAAAAAATTAAGCTGAAATTGTTGTTGAGATTTTCAAAGATAAAGTAATTGTGTTCAGTTTTTTAAAATAGTTGGTTTATAATTTAAAGCAATGATGGAGCATAACTTTTTTAGTTTTCAAATACTAAGCATGACTTTAATATCACACTTTTGTTTAACATTGTATTTGTATATCTATTTTTTGTAATATTTATGACGTGTATAATAAAAAAAATTACTATTATTGTTATATTCTAATGAGGACATACAATAAAACATAAATTCATTAAACGACGATATTAAACTGTTGTGAGATATTCCAGCTATGTGAGGTTTTCGGACTCTCAATCTTGCAAATATACATATAGATATAGACTTCTGAAGCCCTAGAGGTACAAATCGAGAGTTTCAACACGAAAGTATTACATATTCCCTAGACTAACATGTCAACATTTATGTCAACTAAATGATTTTTATTTAACGAGCAATTTCTCTAATAAGATCGGTTGAGACGTAAACACATATTTAGAACGTTTAAATATAAACATTAACACATGTGAACACCACTGGGAAAATATATTGATTAACTGTTGTATGTGTGTGATAACAAATATAGTCTAGTCTCACGGTTTAAGAACAGTTCGGTTGCAGTTAATTTGTACTTTGCGATTTTTGTCTAGTCTCACGGTTTTATAACAGTGCATTTACAGTGTTTTGTTTGTTTGTTTCATTTTACGCCTTTTCCCAACAGTATTTCCGTCATATAGGCGGGTAGTTTCCTAACCATCGTTCCTGAAGAGTTACACCAGTACTAGACTACCTTCCTCCGCGCTAAACTACCAAAGCATCTCCCCGGGATCGATCCCACGCCAGAGTGGTAACTGGTTTGAAGTCAGCGACTCTAACCCTTCGACCACGGAGGAGGTTACATTTATAGTTAATTTGTTCTTTGTCTTTGTTTTCGTTTTTTTTTGTCAAGTCGCAATGTTGTATAACAGGTCGGTTACAGTTAATTTGTAGTTTGCCTTTTTTGTCTTGTCGCGCGGGTGTATAACTGTCCGGTTACAGTTAATCAGCACTTTGAGTTTTGTCTAGTCGCGCGTTTTTATAACAGTTCGTTTACATTTAATTTGTACTTTGAGTTTTGTCAAGTGGCGCAGTTGTATAACAAGTCGATTACAGTTAATTTTTACTTTGAGTTTTGTCTAGTCGCGTATTTGTAAAACAGGTCAATTACAGTTAATTTGTACTTTAAGCTTTGTCTAGTCGCACGGTTGCATAAAAGTTCGATTACAGTTATTTGTACTTAGAGTTTTGTCTAGACGCACGTGTACTTTGAGTTTTGTCTAATCGTGCGATTGTATAACAGGTCGATTACAGTTATTTGTACTTTGAGTTTTGTCTAGACGCACGTGTACCTTGTGTTTTGTCTAGTCGTGCGGTTGAATAACAGGTCGGTTACAGTTAATTTATACTTTGAGTTTGTCTATATAACAGGCCGGAGGATAAAGTTAATTTTCTTCTAGTCGCGCGGTTGTTAAACAGGTGGGTTACAGTGAATTTTTAGTTACATGTTGAAGTGAGATATTCTCCATTATAAATGATTACTTATCTCATCAATATATCAAAACGCTCACTGAACTCAAGAATTGCGCGTACGCTTATTGTATATCATTTTGTTTAAAAGCATTTTTTGACAAAACGAAAGCAGTCGCTCCTTCGCCTCTCCCTTTGAGCTGCTTAAATCCTTTATTTTATTCTTATTAGCGTCAACGTATTATATAAACATGCCATATTGGATATTGCCATACTAATCAAAACAAAATAATCAATTTTTATGGTTACACAACCGTTAATCAGTTTTATAAAAACATGCCATATTGGATATTATTGTCCAACAATACTGACCTGGCACTCTTGCATTTGACCCTAACATCGGTAAATTCTGTAAACGTTACTATCTACTTAATGTAGATAAGCAGTTGTTTAATGATTTAAATAATTTAGGTCAGTCGGTAAATGTCTTTCACTTTAAGAATATGTTAATACAAACTCGTAAGTTCGAATCCTATGTCAGCCACATTAACGTCTTTTCTTTTTTATTTTATTGTGTAGTATTTTTTTTCAAATTTGTATTATAAACGTGCTGTTCTTTTTATTAATAAAAGATAATGTTATGTTATATAAAATATAACTGTATATAAAACCACAACTTAAAAGGTATCCTAAAACCAGATGTAGTAAAACGATTTCAAATTAATTCATGCAAGTAAATTCCAAAATAAAATTTAAAAAATGCGTATCTTCATAACGTGCTGTTGATTAGGTATCGAACCAGAGACCTTCAGATCTCTAGCATCTATACCAATACACTACAACTCATTGACGAGTGAAGTTAACAATTATATCAATATATTCGTTAGATAACAGTGTTTATCCAGTGACCTTTACGAAAATTATTGAAGTGCCAGGTCAATATTGTTGGACTTTACTAAACTAATGAAAACAAAATAATTATTTTTTAGGGTTATATATTTGTTAACCAGCATGTAATGCATTGATCGAGAAAATGGACATGTTGAATAACGACTATTTTTCCACATAATTATATACACTGTGACCAGTCAATGACACTAGTTTCGTAAGCGTATTGAGGCAAATAACTAAATTACATGACCTTGTTTGTTTTCATTGTGATATAACCATAACATTCCATAGCGGTGGTTTAAGTATTTATTGCATGCTTTTCGGTGGTTTATAGAAATATATTAGTGAAATATAAAACTGATATTTTCACTGTTTGAAACACTAAAATTACCACCTCGATAAATTTACTGTTTTGAATTTAAGCCCATTTCCTTGTTTCAGTGCGCAGTACTGAAAACCAAATTAATGACGCGTCGTCGTAAATTACGTCACGTTGTATTAATTTAGTATTTGGCGGGCTTTTAATTTAGCATTAGGTTAAAATGTCTTTTTAAACGTTTCTTTGCATATAATAAAAAAAACAATTGTTTAGTTTAGTGCAAGATCGAAATATATTTCACCTCGTGAACACCAAAAGTTCATATTTCATTCGTGGCTGCGCCACTCGTGAAATATACCTTTTGGGGCTCACTCGGTGAAAAATAATTCCGATCTTACACTGAACTTAACAAATATCCTATATATATTACAAAGACATTTTAGTTAAACATATCAAAGTTGTGGAAACTATTCAAAATGGAACAATATGGTTATCACAAGTTAAATTAATTGACAGTCAATGTAGACTGTACATTAAAATATGAAATATGATTAAAAGAATTTTGTTGAACAACATCATATATCATATGTGATAGGAGGCTCTATAGGGACGCCAATATTGGGGAAAGGACATATTGTTCAATTAACGGGTCAAGCGTCGTAGATTATCTGCATATACACATGAATGATTTGAATTGTATTTCTGACTTTTTCAATCGCCAAATCCAACAAATTTTCCGACTATAACGGATTAAGTTTTAATATACTTTGTAATAAAGTAATTGATAACTCTTATCTAACTGAAAAATGTAAAACCATTATTAAATGGGATAAAAATACAAAGGAATTATTTTTATATTAAATGATGTAAATGAACAGAATTGTAGCTATTATTGCAGATAATTGTGTCGATATTTTACACGAATGTGCACGAAATGTTTTAGCTTAAAGTATAAAACACAAATAAGGTTAAACAGCCATGGCTTAATCAAGGGTGTTGTAACGCTAGATAGAAAATTAAAGAGAAATAAAAAATAAATCAATTTAACAATTTTAATAGGGAATATATTTTTGAAGCTTTACAAAAGTTAAGAAGCTTAATAAGTGAAAATGCAATTTAGACCCAAAAAGATACCTTAAATATACTAGGCAAATATCAACCAAAGAGCAAAGTTTACATGTGCATGCTCGTTATGGAGTCGGTCTAGTGAATTTTCGTATTCATTGTTCTATAGTAAATCAGTCACATTTGAGGCATAATTCCCTATTCCACTGTTCCTGATGAATTATATACTGTCTTCAACTTTAAACATCAACACTATCTAAGTCAAATGAGGCCCAAAATATAATAAGTTAGCCATCTATTTTTTTCAGAAATCTTCATTCTGTTGTAACACTGTTTCAATTCACTACTTTGAAAACTCTTGACTGCTGGTGGGTAGTACATTTTTAATCCGTCCGCCAACAAATGAACTCCTGGAGAATACACAAAAAACAACTTTTAAAGTCATCCTATAACACACAAAAACTACACAAATGCAATAAATACACTTTAATTATGACCAATCAAACTAGAGAGAACTTAAACTGGGCCACTTCAAAAATTAAAAGAACTACTTTGTAGTCTACAACGGGTTGGGTCTAATTCCGTACCGGGGTGAGACCTTATATTCAAACTTTGTTGGTGCATGGTAACGTTTAATCCCAAGCTGACATAAGGTAAGGCTTATTTATGAATTAGACGGCACCTTGACGGCTGCATGATACCGGTACATCAATGAGATCTTAGATGTGTATGTCCACTTATACGCCACTGCTATAGGCTTTGTTTTTATGTAGGTCCCAGACCTTATTCCAATTAAACATGCCTAGTACATGCTGCAGACTGCAATATCTTTCAAACAATAGATAAATACAGAAATCCTAAAGAAAGCTCAACACGACAAAATTGAAAATGTTGCAGGCTCGGTTTGATTGAGCCTATTAATGGACGGT